AACCCGGCGGCAGCGGGGCGGGATGAGGCCCCGAGCGCGCAGTTCAGGGTAGTTATCAATGGGGAACTTCAAATGCAGGGCCTGGCAGAACATCTGGGGGTTTGTTTTGGGATCGCACTGACTGCGCTTTTGCCTCCAGATTTCCCCTTTTCTCCTCCGGTTCCTCAGCAGTTTGAGGAGGTACAACCCACCCCGCTCCTTCCCCTGACACCTACAGTATCCAAGCTGCCTTCCAAACTTTTTCCTCGCTCCCAGCTGAAAGCACACGTGCCACGTCACTGCCGTGTGTGTGCAACGGAGCTGCAAAGAGCACTCTCAGAGCTGCCTTAAAGTGAGATATTGCTGTATGACAACACAGAAACATTCGCATTCTGTTCAAATTTCCTCATAAGAGGGTACAGCTTTTAGGCCAGATGGAACATTGGGTATTTTCTAAGTGTTTAACAGCAGGTACCTGCCAGGACACAGCTGGGAGTCTAACAGGACACAGAGTCTCACACCACCCCGGTGCTGTTTTCCAGGTGCTCACCGTGGAAGAAATGATGCCCCACGTCCAGCACATGAAAGGAGGTCACAGTAAAAACCTGTTTCTTAAAGACAAAAAGAAGAAAGGGTTCTGGCTGGTGACTGTCCTGCACAACAGGCAGGTCAATTTAAACGACCTGGCTAAAAAACTGGGCCTCGGCAGCGGGAACCTCAGGTTTGCTGAGGAGAACTCCATGCTGGAAAAGCTCCGGGTGGGCCAGGGCTGTGCCACGCCACTCGCCCTCTTCTGTGACCAGGGGGACGTGAGGCTGGTGCTGGACGCTGCCCTGCTGGAAGGGGGCCACGAAAAGGTGTATTTTCACCCCATGACAAATTCTGCAACCATGGGATTAAGCCCCGAGGACTTCCTGAAGTTCGTGAGATCAACAGGCCACGACCCCATCATCCTACACTTCGATGAAGATGTCAAATAGTGGAAGTTCACTTTTCTACTACTAGACATAGATGTGGTAGAGAAAACCTGGTGAAAATCTTGTTACAAATAAAAAGAAGGCTTACTCCTTTTTCATATTTTTTTTCAATTGTATAAGTTTATATTGGATAACCTAGTGAGAAAAAATACTGTCTTTGAGTTATTAGAAGTTTAGCAGTGTTCTTAAAAAGACATTTGCAACATGTATGCACTAAGTATAAACTTAGTGTAAATTAAATCATGTCTGCACTAGGTAACTAGTAAGTATAAAAGGCATTATTTAAATAATTTTATAATCTTTGTTAATGGAACAGATAGAACTGGAACTTCCCAGGTGCGGGACTGGCCTTGAAGGTTTAAACTTGACATCAGGAGAGGGGAGCAGTGAAAGTGAGGGATGGAACCTGAAGGTGATGGAGGGTGAAGGCTTTTGGATGCAGCCTAATGAAAATGTCATTAGCACCAGCCAAGAGCACCAGCAGCAGCTGAGGTGAACAGAAATCAAACCCACAGGAGCAGGAATTAAAAACACATCAAAGGAGTTGTGATCTTGGAAGAATGAACAGTTACTATTATCTGAGTAAGAAAAAGTGTCTTCTAGGGCAAGGCAAGTTCCTTCACCCGCCTCCTTACCGTGGCTTCCTGCGTTTTGGAAGGATCTGGCACCTGTTCTCAGAGCTCCTGGAGACAGAACATTTCACCATCCAGCAGTTTAGATTCCTCCCTCCACCTTGTCAGACACAAACCAACCCCAGCTATCATGGGAATCATCTCCAGTGGGAAAGAAGGGACCTAAAAATGCTGCAGCTGTAGGAAGAGTCACTAGAAAAACATCCAGTAACATTTATCTTGCCCTCTGCCGGCCACTCACTCTCCCTCCCCCTACAGGTTTCTTCTTTCTTCTACCCCAAAATCCCTTATCCCTTAAAAAATGAGTATTAGATTTGACTTGTCAAGGGTTTTAGCTCTGGAATGTTTTAAATGTGACAAATTGATTTCAAGGCACGTGCCCAATCCTAGAACCTGCACTGCCTGAAGTGTAACTATTTTCATCCTCGGGGGAAGGGGGGGATCCTGAGACTTGGCTCAGCAAAAATAACCCCCAGGCAAAGCTAAGGCTTCAAATAATACATCTGTCAAATCTGTAATGATTTCTTTTTGTCTTTACTTATGAAATTAGCATTGTTTTCTTTGTTTGTTTTTTTTTTAAATAAAAGTATCAAAATAGTGTACACTTACTTAAAAGCTACCCAGGTCTACACAAATCCCACAGAACAAACTACACACACGGTCCAGAAAAATTCTGCTACAGTTTTATCAGGTTTTTTTTTTTCCTTCCAGAAGAAATACTCACTGCACACATCACCGACTGACCACGACACCAACACCCTGCCAGTAACATCAGTTTCCAGAAAAAGTGTGTATGAACATACACATGACGAAATAAGAATAAAAATTATTTGGTTTGGCATTTTAATAACATCATTAATAAATGTATACAATGGCGAACATTAAAAAAAAATCAATATGTAAAGGAAATTACAGTTTAAATAAGAGCTTTTTAAGTTCTGTTTCACACCTAGGTACATTCCTTTAAGGCAGTTTTATTAATATCAAAGCATTATTTACATATACATCATCAGCTACCTCTAAAAAAAAAAAAAAAAAAAAAAAATCACACATGAGCTCCTTTGTTAGGCTGCATCATGTCCTGGACAATGTTTAGAAATAATAGTACCTGTTGGAATGTTACTAAATCCTCACAGACTATCAGAAAAGTAAATAAAACATACACATGGTATAGCATGACAACCTCCTTCCTAACCTGGACCTGGCACTCCCAGGGAACAAAGCTGGGCCTCCAACTGCTGCTTCCCTGAGACTCCGTGTTCCAGGAACTGAGAAGTGGCTCCCAAATCTGCTTTTTTACTTTGTTTTAAGGGCACTGACTGAGAAGAGGAAGGAAGGGAAAAGCAAGCAGGAATCAGCAGCTCACAGCCCCTCCTGACTGCTGGACTGTCCCAAAACTTCCCTGCAAAACAAAGTGCTGGGAGAAGCAGATTAAATCCCTGAAGTGCTCCCGGGTCTCTGCTGCTGCTCGTGGCTAATTTGGCAAATACAACCCAAAATCCCACTCTGGCCTTTGTGCTGACGGAGACAAAGTGGGTCCAAACCCACTCAGGATGGCACAGAGGGGCCCTGGCAGGACTGGGGCCCCCAGAGCTGACCCGCCAGGGAGGATCCTGCTCCCCCAAATCTCTTGTGAGGAACATCCCCGGAGGGTTTGGATGGGGGTCATTTCTGGTCCAAGGGATGAGTTAAACAGCAGCTGTACAGTTTGTGACCCCACAGACGCTCTGAGAAGGTGCAACACTGTGCAAAAAGCAAAGTGTGGGAGCTGGGAAGGGTAACCCTGGACAACTGGACGCCTCCAGAGAAGAGCTGAGCTGGTCAACGAGACCTGAGGGGATTCCTGTGTGATGGAAACAACACTCCTGAAAACAGGAACGCTGTTAAATGGTTTGGGTTTGAGGGTTGGAACTGCATCAGTCCTCTGCCCTCAGTGAGGAAAACCCAGTCACAGGCCCTGAAAGGAGCTTGAACAAGCTGTCCTTTAGAATGAAAGAGATATTTTCCTAATGTTTCTGGTCTTTGAATTCTCTTTCATACCCGCCACGCCTTTAGTGTAGATCTTTTAGCCCATTTTAGCATAAAAAATATTTCAGAAGGAAGTCCCTTTAAAGAAAAAAAAGCAAAAAATGCGTCCCCTTCTAAAGCTTATTGAACTTGCCTCTTTTTTCCCCTTTCTGACAAGATTTCATGCTCTTGGATCTGTTGAACTGCATTCAGCAGAGTCAGGCTCACCATCACTGAGGGGATGGAGGTGACCTTCTGGACCTGGGAGGTGACACAGGGAATGTAACCTTCCACAACAGGAATAGGAATGTGCTTATTGGATTTAATAATGTATAACAACAACTTTTGGATCCAAGCTCCTCTCCATTTCCTCTGAGCTCGCTGCAAACCTTCCCAGACACAAATATATGCAACCACCGAAGGTACCAAGAACGTCTGTTGACTTTAATAGAAATCAAGAACGAACAAAACGGATCTAGTAAAAGAGAACCTTCAAGGGAACTGATTGTAAAATGCATATGATATTATTTACATTTCTTTTTTTGCCATCAAGAAACCTCCTAAGCCACAATCAGCTCATGTCAAGAGACAAACAATAAAAAAAAAAAAAAGAATTAGTCGATACACAAACATCGTAAGACAGTCGTAACCTGGAAATGGCATTTGTGGAAAACAGCCTTATATTAAAATAAACGTTATAGAAAACTCAGACCTGACAATTTCCTGTCAGAAACATCTGAACGTACATATGCAGAGTAACTCGGGAAGGTGAAAAACACAAAAGACAAACAGTTTCTCTATAACACCATTATCCCATGACTCCCACTTCTGTTAGTTCCCCAACTTTCCCATGGATGTAAACAGATTTTTTTTCTCTTGCAGTATGCAACAAAAAAATCAGCATAAACTTTTTTTTTTCTTTTTAAGAGCAATTTCATGCAGATTATGCAAACCAAATAAGGCAGTGAAGTGCCAGTAGCTGTGAGGTTTTTGTATCTGTATATACAGTCCATTTCAACAAAATACTACAGCATTTCCTTTAGATTTACAGACGTAAAGAGAAACTGCCAGTTATGGGGGTTTTTGGCTAATTATTAGCAGAAGCTTAAGCAAATCAGTGGCTAATTTCAAAAACAGAAGATGAAAGAAGTTTGTTTTGTTTGTTTGTTTGTTTTTTTCCCTGGAGTAATTCTTGAGACCTTAAAATCCTCGGTCCTTAGGGAGATGAGAACTGTCCTTTATTCAGTAGATCTTAACAGTGCAATGTGCAATAATTCCTAAGCCCATCTACACATTTTCGGCAGTAGACTCCAGTAGAGCTCCTTGATTCAAGGAAGGAAGGAAGGTAGGTAGGTTTTTATGTCTTGCCTGCTCTAGTCACGAAGGATGTACAAAATTCCCTCAATTTTTTTTTTTTTTTTAATTAATGACTCCTACAGTCGCTGTCTTGTTACTTCAGATATAAAGGCTTCACACTGAGATACTGAAGGACACTTTTCTCTCTGTGTGCAGTCGAAAGGCAGAAAGAGAAAAGAACGTGAGAAAAAGCTGCAGGAGCAGAAGCACAACACAGAGGTGAGCACGAACAGAACTAACAGCACTAGAGCATGCAGCACAGGGGCTCAGAGCAGCACAGGGGCTCAGGGAGCTCAGAGCAGCACACAAAGGCACGGCCCGGGGGCCACTCCACACCTGGGGGATTTACCTGTTCCCTTTCTAACAACTGACTTCGCTGCTGGTTCTTAACAGGGTTTTTCTTTGGACCTTCTTCGTGAGATGTGGCAAAAAAAAAAATCAAAAGAAACTGGCATTTTTTACAGGCAAAAAGGCTGAATGGGATGAGGTTCCCTCCTGAGGGCCACTAGTCCTGACCTAACTAGTCGGTCCTGGCCTAACCGGTGAGCGCGAGAGAAGCCAGTTAAGCAAAGCAGTATTTACATCTGGTTAATGCAATGTGCTCTGGGTCTGAGATGTAATGCTGTTAGTTTGTTGTAAATGAAATTCATCTCATTTACAGTCTGGGCAGGAAACTCACCACTTGGCCCACAGCTCATGTAGTGGGGAATAGAATTAGGAGCTTTGTTGCTCCCTAGACCTGCTTTTTGAATTTCTGCTTTCTGGGATAGCTTCCACATCTGCAGAGAAAAGCATTTCAGGTTATTCATTGTGTTCATCAGGACACGAAAAAACCCCTCATGCATTAAATACATTCTACTCATTAGGAGAGCAAAAGGATATATAAACACTTCTTTGTTGTTTTTAAGAGGAAAGGACAGAGGAGAGGGACAGAAGAAACTCACTGCAAGTGCCTACTCAGCTGCACTCACTGCCATCCACCTCAGCATTTGGAACAGGCATTACTTGCAAAGCACAGTCAGATATGGGTCACTTTTAGCCACACCAACCCTACATCTTTGCACGTATGGGAAGCAAAAACAGTGATGAGATGCAAGCCCAGCTGACTGACCCTAGCAGAGAACTCCCCTCGCTGTATTGTGACCTGCCGCGCGGCCACAGAAATATTCCCGTTCCACTCTGCAAACCGGGAAATGCTCTTGGCATGCGACAGCTTGAACATGCAAAATGCAGGCTCTGAGTTCCCCAGGCACTCACAGCACAGCATCAGGCAAAGCTGCACTGGGAGCAAACTGCTGAGCCTGCCCAACACAACCTCCCTGGCCAGCAGCCACGTGTTTAATCAGTGCCGTGCACTCCTAACTCCTGGAGCAGATCTCCAGGCAGCAGGGACCAAGGAACGGGCCAGGGATCCACGTGTGTCACAGCCAGCCAAGCACACAGCTCAGGAGCAGCAGGGATTGGGAACGGGAGGAATTCCACAGATCCTTCCACTGTTTAAGAATAAACCAAGGGAGACATCCACAAACTTCCTGCTTAAGTGTAAAGACCAAAAAGCAGAGAAAAAAAATGAACCTTCTGTTCATGAAAACATTGGCTGTCTTTCATATCCAAAACACAAATGCTGTAAGTCATTATTCTGAGCACTGAACACTCTATCACAGAACACTTCCACTGCTGCTGATCAACACATTTATGAAGCAATGCAAAGCAGTGGCTTGAGCTGGACGAGGCTGGTGTCCAGCTCCTGGAGATACAAGACACTGGTGCTCCAGGACACTCCTACAGACCTTGCTCTGCCCAGAACAAGCAGAAGCTCTGCAAGGCCCAGGTAAGAAAACAACAGCTCCTGGCAGCACAGTGTGAGTTTATATGAAGTGCTCTCAGAGCTGAGACTGCAACTCCTTAAATAACTTATCAAAAGTGTGGGGCACACGTTGGGATACCAGCACTCCTCATCTCCAGCACAATTCCAACACATCTACAGATTAATGGGAGTGAAGGCAAACCCCACGAGGCAAGACCAGGACACTGATCCCACAGAACGCCTTTGGACCAGGCAATATCCTGCCCTCACTCCTTTTCCCCACCTGGAAATGCAGGGCTCCCTCTCCTGTACAAAGCAGAGCCCTTCCACTCTCCCACATGGAATATCTGCTGCTCTTCCCTGGGAACTGTGGATTCCCTGCCCCTCCCAGTCAAGCACTAAGGAATCAAAGCTCAGCCCACAGAGCCGTTCTGTGAGTGCCACAAAGCTGCTGCAGGATCAAGTCAGTGTAAAAACCCCAATGTGACGCTGGTTACTCTCAATATTTAACTTCCATTCAGGTTTTTTGTGAGGCATGTAATTTTGGCTCCCACAGCCAGCCTGACTACGTCCTCTTGCAGAGAAGGGCTCGTGTCTGAAGCCTCACGTAGTTACTGCTTAAGTCTGGTACAATTTTAAACTGTTTATATTTGCCACTGAGGAGTTTCAAGCACTTGCAGAGGCAGTGGCACATTAATAACTTCCACATTTCTCTTCAGCTGCTCATCTGGGATTTAAGGAGTTATTCCCTGAAGCATTCCTATCCTCCCATAACCTTGCAAGCAACTTGGTTATTCTTTCTTTTACTTAACTGTGTTAATTTAACATTTTTTCTGTTATTTTGTTACACCATCTTGTTTTCTGCTATGTCAGTGTCACTTCTGTTGAGAATTAAAAATGGATTTCCACCATACTCAAGACAGGATTTTATTCCTATGCATCACAAGGAGTCTGTTATTTGACTCCTGATAAAACCAAACCCTTCCCCCACAGCTGTACCCCAGACGTGGAAAGGCAGAGCAGACCAAAGGGAAAAGGTGGAAAAGGCCATTTTTTCACAAGTGCTGGGTATCATGTGACTATTTATCACCTCTTCATAAGAATTATCATTTCTGTCCAGGATTATGAATGCTCTGTGTGTTTGTTGCTCAGTAATTGGTATTTATTGTGCAAACTGGAGGCACTGAACGATCGGGCTGTGATTTGTTCCTCGTGCATTTATGCCAGGACGTGGCATAAATGAGAAGGGCAAGGAGACACTGAGATATCTCTAAATGCTTCTTTTCGTTTCTCAAAGGGGAAAAAAAGCATTTTTACTCTAGGCAGATGATCCACATGTTCCCGACACCCCTGAGAGCTGGAGCACAACTGGCAGCACCGTCCTTTCCCAGGAATGCCGTTCCCGGGACGCAGCATGCGTGTGGTTTGACATGCAGCAGTGACCAAGAGGAGAACACCCAACGTTTGTGGTGCGTGACAAACAACAACACAGCATTATGGAGGCATGCAGGATGTACACAGTGCAATTAAGGTCTCATGCAGGCTTTGGTGGGGTTACAGTTCCACATTCCAACATGCCACAGTCCACGGCCACGGGACACAACCACCCACGGACCGACCAGAGAGGGGCTGTTCGTTGGAGGGGAGTTTTCTCTGTGATCCAGCGGGCACGGAGAACAGCCCTATGGCATGTTAGACTCGAACACGTGTAACGACACAACCTCCTCCTCATACACAGCCATACTCATACCACAGGGTCTGGTTATCCTCCGACACCAGCAGCGGGCACTCGGCCTCACCGGTGCTGGCACCGGGGGCAGGGACGGGCTCCCTGGGCTGGGCTGCCCGTGGCTCGCCCTGGGCAGGGCTCTGAGCAGCACGAGGCTGTTCCTGGATCCAGGGCACTGACCTAAACGCCGACGGATTTGCCTGCTCAGCTGCTCGGGAGGTGGGTCTCTGGGGCACTCCACTGATATTACTGACTAACTCCGTGTTCAGGGATAAGAATGGCTGGGGCACAGTAAAGGATCCTGCGCTGCCAGGCCCAGATCCACTGACTTTATCCCAGAACACGCTCGCGCTCGGCAAAGTCCTCTCCCCACAATTTGGCCTTTCCGGCCTGGAAGGCCTGGGCACCTCGGAGTTACATCCCAAATTACGCGGCGTGGCCTCGCCCTGCGGGACACCCCCTGCTCTGTAGGGCACCCAGTGGGCACAGGGGGAGGAGAACCCGTGTGCTGAGTACTCACTGGAGCTGGGCGGAGCGCTCCTGTCGGCCGCGGGCGCCGCCGGATCCACCGACACGGGCGGCCGACTGTCCTTGGACAAAAAGTCATGGATGCTCGTCCTCCGGGTGGTCCCTTCCGCCGTGGAGATGACGCTGCTGGCACGAGGTAAGGTGGCGTAGGGATTGCAGTCCCGGGACTGGCGCTGGGACACAGTCGCTTGGAGCTTGTCCTTCACCGCCCGGGCCTTGCCCTGGGCTCCGGGCGGGAATTTGATGGGGGAGCTGCTGAAGTAGAGATCGTCAGTCTTACGGAGGCTGGGCCTCACCAGCTGCTCCGGCTTCAGGGATCGGCCGTCCGAGAAATCCACGGTGGTTTTGACACTCAAGGATCTCACGATCCCACAGCCGGCGCCCGGCTGCTTCCGGAGCCTCTCCCTCCCCGCCAGCTCCGCGGACTCAGACAGGCTCCTCATCACTTCATCTAGAAGGTTCTCCTCACTCGCGGATTTCATCTGCCCAAACCAGGAGACATACATTTATCATTTTATACGATTTCATAATTGTTAATCTTTACCTTTTCCTAAGAGATCTTTGGGAACATAAATGCAGAACGACCCTACAAAGATTATTATGGTTTTTTTGATTTGTCAGCTCTAAAAGCAGTATTAAACATGTATAATACATACACACTTAAAACCTAAAAATCCATGTCAAGGAGACCACAGGTGAGAGATCAATGCAAGCATTTAACAAAGAAGTGTAGAATCTCCTCCAGATCCAAGTCTCTGTCCCAGACAACCCCAATCAGACCAGCTGGGAATGTGTATTTTTTCCATTTCACTTGTGTCATTTAAATAAAACAGAGCCTGACCCTTCCTCCTGAGACATCCTGGTCACAAGTGACTGTCTGGTTTTATCCTACAGCCCTTCTAGGTTTTGGGCAGATCTACTCAAGAACTAGGGAGGAAGAAAATGGAATAGCAGCACAGAAAAGGTGATTTGGGGTGTCTAACAAACTGTCACTGCTTTACAGAAACATTCCCTTGGTCTGATCCCTCTCAGATTTCAATAAGCTCCAAGGTCGCTTTTTTTTTTTGTAATATTAATATATTACAAAGACAGAACTGAAGCAGACAAGAGTCTCCTCAGGGCATGAAGCCAAACATCTCCCTTGCTGCTGATGCAGGACAGAGCTGACAACAGGATACACAGGAGAGACCAACAGCTCCACAAGGCTTTACAGCAATTCTCCTCCCTGCGCCTGGCACTAACTGAGCCCGGCCGAGCGACACCACGTAGCCAGAAGACCCTCCAGACTGACCTCACTGGAGTTACTCTTGTTGCTCTCCTCCAGGAACTGCTGCAGGGTGACCACTTCGCTGCCGGGAGAGCCCGTTTTGGGGTGTTTTCCACGGCTCTCCAGCGCCTCGGGAGTTCTCAGCTGGGGCACGGGGCTGGAGCGGGTGGGACCCTTCAGGTACTGGGTGGGGCTGCTGCTGCTGCTGGACCAGGCCTCGTGCTCGTGCAGGAGGCTGAACTCCCCACTGCTGTGGCTCTGGGGCCGGCTCTGGCTGTTCACTGCGCCTGCTGGGGGCAAGGGGAGCAGGGATTCCCGTCAGAAACACACAGCACGGCTGGGAACGTGGACAACCTGACTCAGACCCAGAACACTAATTCTCTTTAAATGACTAAAAATAAACCAGTTGTCCTTTTTCACTCCCCTGACTTACCTTTTGCACCACTTTAAACGTGATTTTTTTTTTTTAATAAAAACTCCTTCTCGTTATAATCTGGGCCTCCACCCACATAACATGACATTCCAAGAGGCTAAGGATACATCTCTGCTCTTGTTCAGTATCACTGGGAGGCACGTGGCAATGGGATGTTAAATGAAATACAAAAGGTTTAATGGAAAGGAAATATTTCCTCCAACAAGATCTACTTAGGAATGCTGCTTCTCCAACACTTTCTGCTGTTACTCCTAGTTGGTTACAACTGGGACCTGAAGGAAGCACATGGTGTTAAATGCAAAATAAATGCCACAAGCCCAATTCTTTTTATTTGTCAGAAATGGTGAATTGCTAAAAAAAATACTCAGGGATAATCAAGTATTTCTGACTTCGTGTTACTCTTAAGAAATGAAATTAAGTTTGAACAAAGATTAATTTCTTACAGCAGGGATTTCTGAACCGGGGCAAGGAGGACCTCAAGGAATCTTTTACAGAAGGGAGTAATCAAAGAGATATCATATAAACTATTAGAAAAACTCAGCTGGCATTCATTCCTAAAATTCCAAACAAACAGACACCATTCCATAAATGAAGCCATGAATATTAAATGAAATCTTGAGCTGGCAGTGCTCTAGTCTGTACAACACCTAGAATAGCCACTAGATACAAAAATGTATCACCATAGATGTAATTCAGAGAGTCCTGGCAGATCCAGGGCTGTTGTTAACCCGTTAAATCCAAACCAGAAAGGTTTCCAGGATGTATCACAGAGGCCACCTTGGCCAGTTGTACAGTACACAGCCCACAGCAGCAGTGCAGGAGGATGTTTGGAGAAAAAAAAACAACAAAAGGAGTAACTTCTTTTAAAGTAATTTGGGGGGAATTCTTATTTTGTACCATTGCTACCTGGGTAAGGTTTGATTTAAAATAGCTGGTAACTTAGAAAGCAACACCATCCTTTTGATATTTATTAAAATCATCAGTTCTAGTAACACCTTCGTTCCCAATCTGGGGAATGAAGGCTCTGAAATACTTAGGGAAGCACCTGCTGTGGTTTGCAGGGGGAATTTTTTGGCTGTGGGTTTTGTTTTTTTGTGGTTTTTTTTAATCTATACAGATGATCTCACAGAGAAAAAAATGGAAGTAATGAAGCACGGATGTGAATTCCCCTCCAGCATACCTTTGACTTCATGGAGTGAAGCATTGTTATTGCTATTGCTAGTGGATGTCCTGCCACTATCAAGGCTGGCTGGTCTGGAAGCTGAATGGAAAATTAGGAGACACGGTGGTGAACAAGATTGCAGCAGAGGCCACGGTCCCTTCACATTCTGCTCCCAGAATGCTCAGGCAGGGCATGCACTGACACAGGCCCAGCATGCCCACGGGCAACACAGGGGTTCTTACACATCAGAAAGCGGAGCAATTTCCAGGCGGTCCAAGAGGACACTTTGGAAAAGGGCACTGGAGGAATAGCACAGTAGAGGGGAGAGGAAACAGAGAGAGAAAGAGAGTGTCTGTTTAGAACTGAGAGTGACTGTCAGGGGGAGGCGGGTACGGGTGGAAGGAGGGACATGCAGGGGCTGCTCGTGGTCAGGGCACTTACAACAGATCTGACAGGGAACCTGGCACAGGGCTGGAAGGCCACGAGCAGCAGGAGCAAGAGCATCTGCACAGACAAAGTCCTGCACTCCTGAGCCAATACAAGGGAAATGCTCTGTTAGTAGCCTCAAAAATGCCTGCTGCTCATGTTAGTTGTAAATGTTTATACAGGAGTTAAAACTTCACTTCTAAGTAACCTACTACAGCTTTCACTTCAAAGCTTTGCTTGAAGGAACACGGAATGCTTCTATAAACTACAGCACATGGCAAATTTAGGCTTCACTGAACAACAAACTTTGAAAACTCGGGCCAGATTGGGATTTGGGTTTTTTAGGATTGAAATGATAACTTCTTTTATTTACTATTAACTCTAAGTGGAAGTTACAACACTTTCCCACTGAAGGGGAAAATGCTTTGATCCTGTTCAGATGCACTTCACAGGTACTTTCTACCAGAGACACAGAACATCTGTCTGATGTAGGAGATAAGGAAGAAAAGGAGAGTCTGAAGAAATGATACAATACATTGGAGAGATATGGAAATCAGAGAGAACATGCTCATTGCAACCAAGTCATTCACTGTATTTTTGCAAACTGTGTTAACATTCACATCATATATCCTTAATTCATATAGTTAAAGTTCACATCTTACCATGAACTCTTGATCCTGTACTAGAATCATCACTAATACCTTGGGGACTTACATCTTCATAGGATGTAGTATCTACACACAGAGACATAAAAGAAGATGTAAAATAAAATAAAAGGAAAAGATTATTGAAATACTTGTCATTGGTATAACATAATAAAATACTTTTCAAAGCAATCCATTTCTTTCCTTAGGAAATATTCTGCAGGAAAAACCCTGGAACATTTTATAACTGCAGTTATTAAACCTATGCATTATCTTTTAGTGCTGCAGCTGAGTTATTAAGATTGCTTTTTGTAGAGAAACTTAAAGCATAAGAAAAAAATCAACATTACACAGTTACATCGCGGTGCAAAAAGCTTCTACCTATACCTTTATTATTTAGCAACTGCTTGGATCTGAAGCCTGTGGAGGAGTTGACAGTGGCAAAGTTGATGGCTGTGGTGGAGAAGGCCATAGCTCCCAATTCCTTCCTCCTTTTACCCGTGGACATATCATCGGGACCCTCCAGATGCTCAGAACTACCTGTCCATTGTCCTCCTGCCAGGACCATGGACTGCACCAGGTCATTCATGGCTGGGATGCAAATGAAAGCAGATGATCAGCGCGGGCGCCGTCCCCGCTCGCTCGCACTGCGCACCGCAAAGCTCGACAGGTCCGTAAGCGCGAGAGCGGCTCGGGGCTGGCACGGACAGACAACGTCATGCAATCGGCTCGGGGGCAGGGAGGGGCGTCTACGGGGTCCTCGCCATGCCAGGACGTGCCAGGTGTGCGTGAGAGCCCGGGCACGCCGCGCGTGCCACGAGAACGTGGGATGGACGGGGAGAAAAGGTGCTCGGCCGGGAGTGCCAGCGGTGCCACGGGATCCTGGCGCGGTGCAGGTTTTACTGCGGGCACACGGGGTCACAGAGCGACAGAGCGAGATACAACAGCGGATGAGATTCACCTGCACTGCCCCCAGCTCAGCAAAACTGTCCGCCCCTCATCAGAAAACAAAAGGAGACAGAGGAAATCAATACAACGTTCTGGCAACGACAACTGAGGAGTACTTTGCAGAGTGACAGACCACCAGAGAGCCTTGCACAATTGCCTACACTTCCTTTAAACAAAACAAAACAAAACAAAAAAAATCACAGGGATTTCTTAGCAGAACGTGTCATTTAGAAAAGTCTCTGTGAACGCAGTGCACTGTAAATTTATATACACATGGGGCCATGTGTATATAGACAACTATGTATACAAATATATGCAGTCACAATGCACTGAATAGATTATATGGATGTGCGTGGGTGAGTGTGTGTGTGCGTGCACATATATAAAGTATTCAGTGCCAAGGTTTTTTTTTTTTTTTTAAAAAAAAAGGGGGGGGAAAAAGTAAAAAGAAAAAGCTCCAGCTCCTTGTACCATAGCAGGACTTGCACATTGCCAAAGAGGAGGAAAAATACAGCGCAGTCCAGGGAGAGGTTAGTGAAAAATTAGTAAGGAAGCCAGTGTAGCCATTGAGAAGAAGCTGAACTGTCATAAAGTCTTACACATGGAGCGACGGTAGAAGGCCTTCATTTTGTCTTTTTCCTTCGGTCTGTTCCTCAAAAAGGGCAGTCTTTTCAGTGCACCCACTTTTATGTCATAGCATGAGGAAAAACGGAAACAGGGAAATGAAAGAAAAAAAGGGGAGAAGAACAGATGGAAGTTAAATGTTGAAACTAAGGACAGAAATGAATGTCTCGAGCTTAAGCTATGTAGGCTATGCTAAAAGCTACCACTGTCACGCTGCTGGGTGGGCATGAGGGATGGGAACTACCCTGCAATGGAAAAACTGCACTAGGAGAACCTTCACATACTCGGGAATGCACCAAGAATTATGGTGGGCAGTGGAATACTCCCCAGGACTATGGTGGGCAGTGGAATACTCCCCACTACTCCTCTGCTTCAAGAGTTTGAAGCTCTTGAAAGTTTTTACTAAAAAAAAAAAATAAAAAAAAGAAATGTAACATCTTTGCAGGTGGTTACAGAAATGGTCCATTACATAATTCTTACTGTGGAAAATAACACTTTTTGAACATAAAGAAAAACACAACTCTAAGTACAGCTTCTACTTTAAAATACTTTTGCATCGTTATTTTGTGAGGTTAATTAATTTTGGTCATGGTTTGTCCTACAAACCTACCAGGACACAATTTATAATCAGTCTCCAGTTCTTTCATTTTGTGCTCACTAAGAATTTTGGTCACCTACTTGCAGAAAACCCACAAGGGCCTCCTGTCCAGCGCGCTCTGTGAGCAGTGATTTTAGTGTTTCACCAAAATAATCTGCTTCAAAGGTGCAAATTTCTCAGCTGAAAAAACCCCAAAGGAAACAAAACCACAGCAAATCCAAACGTGAGCGTTGCTGCAAGGTTTTGGGGGGGCCCAGAGCAAACTGAGGTACGTTCTAGGAGGAGAATTACAGAGTTAAAATTACAAACAGCATTAAAGGATGGAGCAGTGCATATATACATATGCATTTACAAGTGCACATGGGGGACCCTGAAAGGCAAATAAAGACACCTCCCTCTCCACTGCCTCATCCTGTGTCTGCACCCAGAGGAAGAGGCTCCCAATGCAATGGAACCAAAGAGGTCATTCTGTTCTATTTCTATTTTTTTGGCACCAAGATGACACATGACTCTTCTGTAACTTCTATAATCCTTTAACAGACAAGATAACTCACCCCTCTATAATCCTTTGTAGACAAGATAACTGAGTCCTCTTAATTAAAAACTCCCTAATCTTATTAAAAAAGTAACCAGAGCGTGTTCAAGAATCATTGGAGTCATTTGTCCTGTCCATTAACAGAGATCACCTCCAAAAGGGCTGATTTAACTGTACCCACCAGGAAACTCCCTTGCAACTACTGATGTCCTGGAAATCCTGCACCAGAACCTGGCCTTTGTCCTGGGAATCCTGCATCAAAACCTGGCCCTTGGGAAAATGCAAAACCTGCTTGAAGGGAGAATAATGTAAGTAATGTCTGCTTAAAATCCAACTCAAGAAATGTCCTGGAATGATAATGATGATTAATACTGAAATGGCAGAGCTACAGCAGAAATTAAGTGTTCTTTCTCTTTTCAATATTCTGAGAACATGTTCCTGCTTTCTGAGCTGAGAAGGAACGATGAGTATGGCAGAATTCCTCCCCTGATCAGGAAATCTCCTGTTTTGTGACCCTCCTCCTGTTTGCAAACAACCCTCTGAGGAATTCTGTATTAAAATCTTCAAAGGGTTTTGTTCATGCACACAAGAAAATATGAGGCAGACATCTTCTAAATGTCCTGGTGATAGGAAATGGAGCCCAACAGACTTTTTTTACTTCCACTATGATATGATGTGTCTGCTCCTGGTGCTACTACCAGAGATCCAGCTTACTAAGAGCCCTCATTCCTTAGGACTTTGGTAATCACCTGGAAAGGCTACAGTGGAAGGCAGCAAAGGGAATCTGGTTTTGTCCACAGAAAACAAAAATCCCCCCTGCCTGCCCTGGGCTTTCTGTGGGAAAGCTTCAAGTGGTCCCATTCTGCCTAGAGTAGGTGTCAGGTCCGTGGCACTCAGCTGATCATCAGCAGTGACCAGGAAGGATTTGGGGGCAGGATCTGGGAAGGAGGAGGCTGAACTTCCAGCAGAGAATGAAAAGCCAAGGTGAAGGCCTGCAGTCAGGAGCACACACATGCTCACCACCTGCAGGGACAGCAACAGCCATGGAGGACCCCCTCCTTCCCAGCTCCCACACTCTGGGATCACACAGGGGCTTGGGGAATGCTGGGACACCTCAAGTACTGCTTTCTCTGCACAACAGGGGAATTTTGGGCCAGGATCCCCCTGTGAGATAACAGGGCTTGGGAACACATGAGCGTGGCAAAGTGGCCTGTCTCCATCACCACCTTCCAGAGCTGGCACACACCAAATCTCTTCATCAGCAGTGGCAGCAGCAGGGTAATCAGGTGTGGGATCAGCATCTCCAACGGGGAATGTGTGGGATAGGAACCCTAGAGCCCTTGGGACCTCTGTGTCAAATACTCTGCCCTCTAGCTGAGGAGAACACCACTGGTGTGTGCCAGGGGAGGTGAGCTGCCTTCTCCTGCCTCCTGAGGGACATGCAGGACATTTCACCTCAGCAGTTCCCACTGGAACCACATCCCTTCCCAGGCTGGGACAGAATCCGGCTCTTCCCAGAGCCAGCACTGCCATCAGCCAGGGTGGAGCTCCAGCACCTCAGCGTGGCAGCTCACATGTGTTCCCTCCTGGAGCTCCTGCAGTGGAAGCTGCTGCTGCCAAACTGCTTCTTACAGAAAAGAAAGGCCCCACAGTATCCCGGGATTTAGGATTTACAGTCCCTCTAGGAGCAGAAGAAACAGGCTGCAAAATGTGCCCCATCACTAGCACTTGTCACACTGAGATACTCTTCTCTTCACTCTGAGACACCAACTGCCTCAGCAAGATTGTCAGAGCTGAGTTGGCACACGAGGCACCCGAATTCTGTCAAATCCTGGGGTTTCCATGGCGACGTGTGTAACGGCGGAAGGTTTGGATCCAGAATTAGATCAGCCCTTCCAGTTTGTGGATAAACACACTGGGATTAAGGGGGACACGAACGAGGCCCACGGAGTAGAAAATTAATGAGGTCTGCACAGCTCCAAACCTCCTTTGAGGCTCAGCCACCGGAACTGCGGCCGTGGCTCCCCGGGAGGGGGACCTGCACCCCACGGGGTCCCGAGGGCCACGAGGAGAACACGGGCACACCAAAGCCCTGCCACAGCATGACAGAGGGGACACAGAAGCAGATGGGCTGACCCACAGCGTGCACACTCACAGACACACCCACGGCAGCTCCGCTCGCCCCCGCCCCACACCGCTCAGGATGTAAAAGCAACAGTTGCCTTTTTTTTTAAAGTTCAAAAGTAGCTGTTTTGAACCTCGGACTGAAAAAAGCTGGGCTTCCCAACGGGACAAGTTAGCAACAAAAGTGCTAAAGTGTACCCCTGAACATACTATTGCCTTCAGTTATTAAAAAAAACACTCACAAATCTGATTGAAAGTCACCCTGAGATAGCATTTTTTGGTGGTTTTAACTTTGGCTAAGCTTCTGCAAGAAGCACAGAATTAAAAGAAATACATCGTAATGGCTTTAATCATTTCTAACACAGCAGATTCACAGCTGGCACAAGCCCCAGAAAAATCAACCTGCTGCTTTTTTGAAACTCAAGACATTAAATTTGAAAGGAGTAGTGCAAAGATTGGAAGTGACTGTTAATGCTCATGTATTCTGATGCTTTTACATGCACAGCCAAAATGCTTTTGGTGCATAATTATTAAACAGACCCATCACATCCTGATAACCTGGCTGCAATATTATCTCTCAAGTTGTGAGAAATTGGGCAGCTTATGATCCACACCAAGCGTGGATCATAAACAATATAGGTAAAACAATATAGGTAATAAATAATAATAAACAGACTCTGGCCTTTTATACCATGGGCACCCTCATGTGATGGCTGTGAGGCTCTTCCAAGGTTAGCAAATTGTGTCTGGAATATTCCATCTATCCACACCCCCTGCAACCCTTCCCACTTTAGCTCTCATTTTGGAATCACTAACAATCCCCATCCTTTTAAGAGGCTGTGTCTCTACATGAACTCTTCCTGCTGCACCTTCCAGTTTGATCAGAAGTTTTCCTCACTGGTTTTGTGAGGTGTTGGGGAACACCTTCAGGCAGAAGGTGTTTTTAAGGATGTTAGCACAGCCACAGCTTGGAAAACGCTTCCCAGGACAAGGGGAGAGATTCATGCTGGGACAAGAGGGAGAAACAAAAGAGGTACGAGTGGTGACATCTGACATTCCATCCAGAATCCTGCTTGCCTGACCCAGGAGCAGTGCCTGCTTCACCTTACCCAAGCACTGCAAATGGAGCTTCAACATTTAGCTCCAGAAATGCTAAAAACTTGTTCCTGCCCCAACACTCCAGGGAGTTTGCAAGAAGTCACCACAAATCTGCCCTCACATTAACTCAGGCTCTGCTCCTAAAGACTTTACCTTTAAAACCCCTCCAAAAGACACAGACTTTCCCAACACTTAAGCCAGGGTTTATTAGCAGAATGAAGCATCCTGCAGTACTCACTGCTACTCTTTTTGGTGCCCAGGGTCTGACCATCCTCCAGGGAGTTGGAGCCCACCGAGGAGCTGTCCTGGCTGTCCTGGTGGGGCAGCTGCAGGAAGCCCTCGCTGGATTCCGAGCGCGTGGGCGTGAGGGTCACGGACTTGAGCCGCTCCCGGTTCCCGTCCTTCTTGGACTTGATCAGCTTCCTCATCTTCAGGGTGATCCAGTTGCCCCTCCTGTTACCAACGACACAGCACGCTTATGACACATTGTTTATGCCCTCACGCTTCCCCTAATCCATATGCAAAACACAGACGTGGTTCTGCCCCCTGAACTTGAGGAGACCTCGATTTTCAGCTGGAGCAGAACAGGTTATGCCCTGAAGTCGTGTTTTGCTCTGATATCGTGTTCACCGGTACCTTCGGGGTGGAGATGGCTCATAGAACTTGTACTGATCCATTATCTTCTCCTCCAGTTTCTCCTTCTGCCGCCTCAGTTCATTGAGCTTGTCACTGCAAACAGAAACCAGGGATAATGGATGTGCAAAAATGTATGGAATGTGTGGGCAGTGTGTTCCCTTGGGGATCTGTTATCTCAGAGCTGTCATCTTTGGTGAAGAATTCTAATGTAACACTTGCTTCTTATTGAAAAAGCAAGAGATACAGCAAACAAGCAGACTTAGGTGTAACTTCATAACACTGAGAAAGTTTCCATTTGCCTTTATTACACCACAGAACTTCCCCCCTTTTTAAATAATAAATGTAATTTAGACAAGCCTGTTTTCTCTTCCCTCAAATTCACTAAAAAGTTGAGATTACCATTCTAAATTTGGCCAGTAGTAGAATGAGGAATAAAAAACATTTTTGTTTCCCCTCTGAATAATCAATAACAATCACAGTTGCACTGATCCTTCAGAACTACAAATATAAGGTTTTTAGTTTTTATCTGCTTTACATTTACAATTGAAATTTTTGTTTCAGAAGCAGCACACAAGTTAAATTCCATATCTAACAGAAGCTTTTTAAAGAAAATCAGTGTATCGCAGTGATTTTCAAAACTCACATGTACTGCCTTTGCTCCACATGGAAGAGATCCTTGCTTTCCATGTTCTGCTCCAGTAATGTCCTATTTTGCAGCATTAAAGTCTGAATTTGATCCAGCAGATGCCTGTTCTCCTCCTCCAGGTTCCCTTTGAGCTGGCTAAGCAGCTGTAAAATACATGAAATGGCCCTTGTGTACATATGTGAGTGTATTTTACACAAGGATAACGAGATCATCGAGAAAATGTGCGTCCACAAAGGCATTCTGAGAGTCAAATCCAACAGAAAACTAAATCATGAATCACCTGATAAAAGCCTCTC